GTGTGTGTGTGTGTGTGTGTGTGTGTGTGTGTGTGTGTTTGTGTGTGAAAAATGGTTGCAGTGATGTAGCAAATACGCGTCCACACACACAAGCCGATTGTCCTCTGTAATGAAAGGCAGGCAATTTTAAACACTAAATAAAAAGGCTTCAAATTATCATATTGCTAGCAGTAAAATTATTTGGTCCAATTATTTCATCTGAATTGTGACCATTACAGAAACAAAATTTAAAAAAGTTCACAGTGTGATATCAAACATATTGCATTTATGTATTTTTTTTACTTGCAAATAGATTGAATTGTACCCAAGCCTAAAATAGTGTTTAAACGCAGATATGTTATGAAGAATCACTTCCAGTCAACAGTGATGGAAATACTTTTTAGTGTGAGCGCTGACAAGCTGACATTACTGAGTCAGGTTCCTGCCTACAGCTCTCAACATGTCAGGACTTTAGCAGCCAAATACACAAACAGCAGCTTTGGTACTTCGTAAGTTAAAGTATTTTCTGTTGTTTATGATCAGATCTCAACTCTGTCCCCACAGTCCAACAGAAAAACAAAATCATCTTTTAGTGTAGCCACAAAACAGCCACAGGCATTACTTAATTTTTCCTTCTCATTTTGAAACTCATTACATTTTTTAGTCAAATTTTAGCATGTCTTGCATATATAGATACTGTTTCACTGTGAAGTAAAACCAAACCACAGCCACATTATAAAACCTGGGACAGAATCCACATGCCCCTACATGAAGCCCTCTTTGGCCTTTTTTCAGTCTTAACAAGTCAGAAACATTCACTGGAAGGGCGTGTGATCTTGATCAGCAAGACTGTCCGGCGAGCACGTTAAGATATTGCCTACACTTAAAGAGCACCTACCCAAACACAGTAAAACTAGACCAGAGATAATCTCGTTATACCGGTTCTCTGTTTGGAAATAGGTGACGTCTGAAGTTTAAGATTCCTCCCCAAGATAGATAGCTACGTTGCAGCATGTCACAAGGATCCAGCTCGTGAAGACGCACAAAACCAAACAAAAAACTTGTTTTTAAGCCTCAAACACAGACATCTCTGTGTGTAAATGCAGCCCAACGTGATGTCACTTGGGGCTGAACAACACCCGGGCTGTGCTGATTGAATCAGAGTGGATCAGCAGTTCTGTGTCACCCTGTGTTGGGACCTTTACCGGCAGCATGCAGGCTAACACAAATATTGCACAAACATGCATGTCGTACATCAATAAGAGTTACGACCGGGTTAGATTTATCCAAAGTGTCCATTTAAAAAAATCTCCACACGGCCTGATTTCTGCCTCCTCTCCCTCGACGTTTTCTCCAGTATAACAAAAACACTCACAGCGAGCTCCGTGAGTGTTACATAACCAGCTCTACTATCACTCTTACAACTCGGTAAGCACACGTGCACACTCTTGTATACAATGTACACGTGGACTTTTACACACCCACCTGTGTCACACAGGCAACGCTGGACGATGCACACGACTGCGTACAAAACGATAACATAATTCATATTGGTTAACTTACTCACACTCTTCAAAAACAAGTCATAAATGGTCTTTTTTAATACAACGCTATCATCTTTTTTGTACGCCGGCCAATAAAAATGCTGTAGCTATAATAACAGTAAAGTACTCGAAGCAGATCTTTAAGAAGAAACCTGCAGCAGATGGCCACAAAGCTCTGATCTCATCGGGGCTTACAGTTTAAAGAGGTGGCCTAAATCCAACGGAAAACCTCTGCTGATACGGTATGTGTCAACATTTGTGAATGAGCTTCGTGTTTGATTGGTCGAAAAGGTTAACCCACGTACACAGGAACTAGCTGTTCCCTCGACTGCAACGCCAAGGACACGCATACAAAACAGAAACGTCCTCAAAACATGTGCTTGACTGCTGCCAGTCATGTGCCATCAGCTTCCCCTCTTGCATCCAGATCTCGAGTCTCCGCATGCGAACAGACACGAGCACTTCCACTTTCACTCGCAGGCAAGCAATGGCACCAGAAAGAAAGGAAAAAAAAAACAACAACAACAACACTACAAATTTTGGTGTTAATGCCAACTAGCAGAAGATTCACAATTTGAAAGCGAAACCTTCTGTTTCAACTGTCTGGCTCAGTTAACTCGCGATCATCACTGTCACGATTGGAACGGAAGCCTCAAAGATCAAACAATATGCCAAAAAAAAAAAAAAAAAGGAAAAAAATCATGCTTCGCAGCTGCTTCAGATCAGCTGTTTGTTAAATCTGCAGATTTAATCACAAATCTCTGAGTAAAATAAGAACGAAAACCCTTTATCTGAGCCGTTAATAAATCATGTCTCACCTGAACGTTGCATCGGCCGATCAGAGAAGAAGGTCTTCTCCTCTTGAGCTCCATACACTTCCTCAGCTTACAGATTTGGTGACCCGTCCTGCGATTGAGGCAGCAGCTGCACTGGCCACAGTTAATCTTCCTGAGGCATGGCTCGCATGTCCCACACCTGCTCCGCTTCCTCCTCTCCTTCTTCGGGGGTTTTAGGGAAGTCCCCGGGGACCTTGATCCCAGGCCGGCCTCCGCACACCCCGTCTCCGATTCGGTGTCGAAAGAAAACGAGGAGCGAGTGCTTTCTGAGCTGCAGGAGAAGCCGGAGCTGCTGTCGAGAGAGGGAGTCGAGATCTTTGGCACCAGGTCCACCTCAGGCGTTGACACCTGAAGGCTGTCTTCATTGAGGTTTGGTTTGCGCTCATCTGTGCCCGGCAGAGAAACCAGTGAAAAGGAAAGTACAGATGTTTTCTGGCTGATAAAGTCCTCTTGGTTTACTTCACCATTTTTGGTCTCTGTTGTTGTGAAATCTCGTCTTCCTCCCAGAGAAGTAAGAACCAAGGGGCTTTGCTGTTGGTGAGATTCTCTGTTGCCAGACTCTTTTAAGGTCTTAGCTGTAAGAAAGTCTCTACAGACAATTACTGGCGTACTTCTTTTCACTATTACAGTCTGCACTTTGGGAGCAGCGTCATGGACAGCCGAGGACCCTGGGAACTGAAGGTTAGCACCATGAACGTCCGCTTTAGCCACGCTCACCGCCTCGGGCTCACACGGCTCTGAGGTGGAAGGGGCTTTGGTGGGATCTGAGGTAGTTGGGTTAAAGACCAGCAATGCATGTGCCGGTGACTCGGTCTGTGCTGTTGGTCCCGTGCTACAATGAGGTGGACCTGGACAGGTTGGAGTGCTGGTTTGGGAGTCGGCAGGACTGGTGGACACCTGCTTTTCTTTTCTTTCACTGCCTTCGCTTTCACAGTCCTCCAACCCCACGGCAATTTCCTTCTTCTCCTCCAAGGTCTCGCTTTGTCTCGCAGCGACGTTCTCCGCTTCTAAACTCTCTCTTTTCTCGTGATTTATCTCGTCTTTTCTCTCTGTGACAGCTGATCTGCTTTCATCTGCTTTATTCTCTTTCATGCCCAGCAGCGTAGCCTCCTCCGGATGGACAGTACACCCGCCATCCTGCATACCGCCGCTGTCGACACCACCGAGCTCACTTCCAGTAATGGATGAGGTGTTGTTTTCCTGCGCTCCCAATGAGCCACTGCTCGTCAACTCTGAGGTGCCGGAGGCGGGATCTTTACTCCTGTCACTGCAGACGCTTGGCTGTCCATCAACGTCATCACAAACAGTGGCCCCAGTGACTTGATTCAAGTCGCCTTCACTGCTGCAGCTGACAGTCTTTGTGTCTGGATCTGAAAGTTTGTCACAGGTGTGCTGCACAGCGTCTCCCGGTGAATTAGCTTTAGGGGAGCTGTCCTCTTTTGCGTCTGTCAGCTCGAGACTCTGCTCTCTGATATTTGAAGGAACATCACCATCGGTTTTGTGATGATTCGTGGACTTTTCTTCATTATTGCTATTTTCCGCTTTCTCGTGTTCTTCATCACGAGTAACGCCTGAGGGTTTGTTTTTTGCGTTTCGTTGCTGGGATGCTGCTTTCCTCCCGGCGCTCCCTCTGCTGCTTTTCCTTCCCCTGCTTGGTTTTGGAGACTGACAGGGTGTTGCGGATGCTTGCGTGTCCCATTGAGACCTCCTTTGTCCTACAGGGACCTGCGACTTGCCACAGCTACTTGACCGTCTAAGCCTCGCAGGTCCTGTCACATGGGTATCTCTGCCGGGGGACCTCCGGGACTCCTTACCTCTTCTTCCACGGGGACTTTGACCTGCCTTTGCCTGCGACCTGGTTGTTGACCTTGTGGATTCTGCAGGCGTCTTCTGGAGCCTCTCTGCGGCTTTTCCTCTGGTTTTGCTCGAGCTGCAGGTTTTAGCCTCGATTCTGGTGATTTTCTGGCCTTTCCTCCTCTGAGCAGGTGTCTGTCTCCTGGTTGGTTTGGTAGTAGCAGGCATGGCTGAGGGTGTGGAGGAGAGGACTTTTGGCAGCCAGCATGGGAGCCAGATAATTTATACCTCGCTTTGGAAAATAATAATAATAATAAAAAAAATAAATAAATGTCTCGGATTGTTTATTATCTTTTGCAATTTTTCTTTGAACAGTATGTAGCTTTGGCGTACTTGGAGCGTATTTGGGTCACATTACCTACAAAGCAAAGGAGGGGAAAAGGGAGAAAATTAAATATTAAACAGTTGTGTTTGAAATTGTTTTATGCGGACTTGCAGTGCAAAAGAAGTTCTAACAGCGCTATATTTTTCTGTACGTTTGTTTCCCCACAGAAGACACTTTTGCCCCTCCTTAAATACCCACTCGGACGTGCAACTGCCTGGAGGTTGACGTCAGTGAAGCAAATTCAAAACACCCTTACACAAATATGAAGCACAATTAGATAAAGTGCCTAAAAACGATTAAAAAAAACAGCAAGGCTTCCGGAGTGGATTTAACAGTTTAAAGGGCGAAGAAGGCTCCAGCCAGAGATCGGA